CTAGCTATGATGTTACATGTTTCCATAATCCGACCCGAAAATTTTGCTCCATCTCATTTTCAAGCCAGTGGTAACTTTTGTGCAAGTTCGTTAGTCTCCATTTAGAAGTAGGTATGAGAATTGCGCTTGATAGGTATGAAATCCGTTACTTTTTTAATTTCAATCACCGTGAAATATGACATGGTGGGTATGATCGTCGCTTCAGGTAGAATCCTCTATCAATTTTTATAGAGCTGCAGTACGCTCCTTAAAATTCCGATTCTTCCTAGCAGGATCGCTTTCTGCAGTTTTCATCCATCTTTTCCGCTTCATCGGTCTACTTTATTAGGCGTTTATGGTCACTCTTCGCTGATTCGAGAGCACCGATCATCACAGGCATTACTTCCACCTTTGCTCGCTAGATCTTTTTTATTTCCATTCCCAAACCTTGATATTTCAGTGTCCCTTCTCTTCCCTTAGCAATAACGTTACCGTCACCGGGCATCCTGTAGCGCTGATTTGTGACCACCTTTTCGCTTTGTCTACAGAATGATATCCGAGCGATTAGCCGGTATTTCTTTTCCAGTTCGTATTGGGTAGTCCGGAGTATCTTCACTTGCTCAGCCTCCTCCACCGCTTTAGAATGAAGCTTCTACCATTGCGCTGGCAGTGGTAAGTCGGCTCGTTTGCACAGACGACTATCCTTGCAGCGTTGTTGTGTCATTCCTTGTATTCTTGGTTCATGAACTTTTTGCAACACCTGGAAGTTGTAGATCACGGTATCATCTTTAACTTTACACATTCTGCACTTTGCGGTGTGCAAACTTTTCGGTTTTTTATGAGTGCCTACTAAGTGCTTGGTCTCGTGCGGCTATTAGAAGAGCTTCAATTTCGTCAAGAGTTTACTTTTTGATAGTCAGTTAAAAGCCTTGTGTATATCTGTCTTCGCCGAATTGGTGAATCTGCTGTTCATGAAGCTTCTTATTTTTTCCACTACCCTATCAACCGTTCTAGGCATTTTCCTAATGATTTTCTGTATTTTCAGCTGTTTGCTGTTCGGGTTTCCACAGACCGTTAACTCTTACTGTCGTCAGCACTATCTTCTACAGCCGTAGCCAGGTATTGCCTTAGGGATGATGTCTCTATCTTTAATACTACATGGCCCTCTACCTACTGCTGTGTGCTGGAAAAATAATCTATCAGCATCTGCTGTTGGGTGTACCATCCCGCACAAGTTCAGTGTCTTTCATGTATTTCTGTCTACTTCTAACCTTTCTGTTTGCGTTCATTCGCCAGTACCTCCTATATACGCAATTATTGTTACCGCACATTGGTTAATGGCTATAACTTTGTTCCTCCTGCAAAACTTGGTCTGCAAGATTTGGAGGATTCTCTTCTCATATTTCGACTTTAGAGTTCATTTCATTTTTATGTAAAATATTGTCACGTTCTCGCACGCCAAAGTATTTATAGAACTGTCTTTCTTCCAAGCTGTTTATTTTACCACTCAGTAGCGTTAGCGTCACACTGTCGCTTTTCCAGAATTTTTTTTCTTGATCTCCACCACAGCATATACCAATCTGAATTCCATCCTGGTATCTTCTGGTAAGATTCGTGCGCTTTGAATCTGATTATCCAGTTCTTTTGCCGAACCTGTTTACGACTTCAGGTCGTTCGTTTAGAACAAGTGTGATATTGCGCTGCGTCTTTCAACTTACATCTTTTCCTTGTGTTATTCAGAAAATAACTGAGCGGATTCAATGCGAATGTCTACATAAATGGACCTTGAATGATTTCTTTGTTTTAGAGACATCTTGTTCAGTGATTGAATATTGTTTTTTTTCAGCTTTCATAAGCATCTTCTTGTTCGGTGATTGAACATTGGCCTTCCTTTTTTCAGTTTACGACTTTGTTTTACATTTCTCTCAGGGACTCTCTTAGCTTTCAGACATTTATGAACTGTTTTTGTAATTTTTTAGGTCTAGTTTCTGGTGATGACAGACATAATTTAAGATTTACACTTGTTTACCGTCTTTCGATTTTTGTTTATTTTTCATGACTCTCTGTGTTGCTTTCTGCTAGTTTAGTTTCTTCGACTGACGTTTTATAAATACTGTTTGCTTATTTTTGCACCTCACGTACAGTTTTTTACTGGTCGATGGAACGCTGTCATCTTTTCAGCTCTTATGATAAAGTATATATTAGAGTCGCTTATCTTCCTTTCCCTTTCTCTTCATTTTATCCTTGTATCAATACCTGCTTCTGCTTTTTATAGCTCGTTTTCATATTAATTTCATATATCTTCACTCACCATCACCGGAATGTGCATATTAACGTTCCATTCTGTGCATCTCACGTAGGGATTCTACAAAAGCAGTTTCATTTCAAGGTTATTTGCCAGACTTTCGAATGTTGGGTTCTAACACTGTCATACAGCAGCGGCAGTCTTCAGTTGACTTGGTCCTTACATCTTCTGATCCGTCAGAAAGATCAGATGCTTGACAGTCCCATTCCTTTATCTATATTTGCATTAAGTTACTGGTTTCTGTTCCTTCTTCGCCTCGCTTCAGACGCTCTAGGTCTTGTCTTTGAATCAAAATTCTTGTAGAGGTAACATATGTCTTATATCTCTAAGCAAAGAGAGGGTTTGCTCGGCATAATCAGGATCTCCAAATATCATGTCCATAATGCTCATACAAGTGTGGTTGTGACTCACGCTTCGAGTCTTATAAGTGAAAGTTTGGGCTATACAGATGGTTTGAGAAGTGCGATAGTTTACAACTTTGGTTGTAAGTCAATGTTTGTCTGTCTTTAAAACATATTCAGTGTTTCATTTTTACATTTTAGGAAGAAATTCCGATATCTCATGTGAAGCCAAGAATCTTAAGGGAAATCGTCGAACCGGCCGTTCGTAGTGAAGCTATTTCAGCCTGTTAAATCGCTTTTTCGTGTACAGCCTAAAAGGGGACATGACTTTCGAACATCATAGCGCTATGCTTTACCAATGCCTTTAAATGCTTGTATCTTCGCTAGTCTATTGCACTAATACATTTCACTTTCAGAATATGTTAATTTTGTTTCTACGACAGCTTCGTTTTCATCGTAGCCTACTAACTGTACATGCGAACATATGTAGACACTGGTCGTTCAGTATTAGTCTTCGTAAAAATTCTATTCAGGCTTGGCTTCCGCCGCTTATTCGCGCTTCGCATTCCTCGAAGTCTGCCATATCGTTTCAGTACTATTCCCCATCGCACTATTTAGCTCTGCTTTGTTGGTGACAGCGTAACCGGCTCCGTGCCTCAGCTTCATGGACCTCGCAGACATTGAATTCATTCATCGTGCGCCGCGAAGAGAAACAGATGTTTATGTCTAGAGGTTTTGGAGGTCCTTATCAGAGAGATCTGTTCACGTTTCTTGCGTTGTTGTCATCAAGGCTTAGCGTAGTTAGATTACCAGGTTAGGATTTATCTTTGTATTTTATCAGAATAGGATCTGTTGTCAGTGAGAAATATTTCCTTCCCCCGCGAAGAAATCATAAAATCAGAATTTCAATGAACCGATTTACATTTACAGTGCTGATAGTGAAGCGCATTAGTGCTGCTGGCAAGTTCAAGATGATAATAGTAAAGTTAGGCATTAAGCACCAATGTTATGACTATTTCCAACTGTTAATTCTAGATCGGGTAGTAAATGTGCTTGGTTAGCGACGCCTTTCTTCCTGCTAAACGTTTGCGCGTCCTAGTTCTAGAGAAACCACGATTATCGTGGTCTGATGCGCATTTACCAAGTTTACTCGTTACTTTTCAAAGGCCTTTAGAAAAGGAAGTTGCTGCCAGTGTTGGAGTTGGGATCAAGTGTGACAGTGGCAATTCAAATATAAATAGAAAGTGTTATCTCCGCTTAAATACCTTTGCTGCATCGCCCCTTGGTTTCTAGTTTTTGAGACCGTTTGAACAAACTATGGTTTCATGGTATTGTCACCCGTTGCGCATGCATCGAGTACCATTAAACGCTAAATCAGAACACATTGCCGTTAACGGCATCGCATCTTCAGCCGAAAGTCATGCTTACCAACAAAAATTTGGTTTCTCACAGGGCCGACGATGGTGACCAACCAGATCAGTCTTTGTTTACAACCGTCTCTGAATCAATTTACGCTGTAGTAATTCTGTTCCACTTTAAAACTCAACTATCTGCTCCACCAAGCCAATTCCAAACATGGCGGTCGTGTATATATTTATTTACATTTTCTTATTCACTAAATCTACTAGCTAATTCAAATGTACTGTGAACGAGTGGATAACCACCGGTTATCAAAAAAAAAAGTTCGTAACTTCTTTATATCTACCTTTAACACTTCCATGATGGGCATGATTTGTAGCCTTCATTTTTTGAGTTGACAGCTTGTGTTAATCTCCGTTTATACGCTTTCATCTAGAAGTACCATGTTTTACAACATGGTATCTAAGCCGTTTGATCAGGATAGCATGTAACTTCTTTCTTTTCATGCGTGGTGGCGCTCATTTATTTACATCAGAAAAATGGAAGGCTAATTAGCGAACAAGCTATCGAGCACACGGAATGAATGGAGTCTGGAACCCTATGAACTGAGCAGCCCTTGTTTAACTTTTAGTGAAAACAAACAATTTGGGACATTCAAAAAGACAGTGAGACGCTTTGAACCTGCCTTGTTTGTGGGGCGAAATAAGCCACAGTGAAAATATTTGCTCGCGTGCAATGTCGTTTGATATCACAGAAATATACTGGGGAATATTCTCAGGAAAGCCCTATACAGATTGCGAACGAGAAGGACTAAATCTCAGCAGTTTGCATTAGGAAAGTTGAGTAAGGGTAAGTGTCATGTAAGACGACGCACGGCGGCTGATCAGGAAAATGAATGGGATGGTCGAATAACTAAGGCCGTCAGTTAGTAGACATGGCATCTGCTGCGTGAAGATTTAACCAACGAAGTTGCATCCTTGAGAAAATTCCATCAGTAGGACAATTATGGAATGAATCAAATCCATTCTCAATTATGGCACAGAATGCTAATTAACATTTACACCGCTTTAAGCATGGCGCGATCACTATTCTATCAGGGGTAATATTTGCAGCGGTCTAGGATATCACGATGGCAAATTTGATGTTCTGTATTCAACACAATTGAATTACTCCATTTTGATGTCAAGCTTTCGTTAGCGTCGAATCCGCTTTTGACGGGAGACAAGGATTCTTTAATACCTCTTAACGGACATGGGTGTGAGAGAGACCTATATTCCTATTTTAGAATGAACTACGTCATCAGGTGCATTGTGCACCTGAGTTTCCACAGGAGAAATAGAAGAACTTCTCTTTGCTCATTCACAATGTAAATCAATCCATGTTTAAAAAACATTGATATTAGATGAGATCCTTACTATTCTGTACATATAGGTGTGCACGAATATACGGAGTCCTCTGATAAAGTGCCGTATAAAATCATTTTTTGGCTGTTAGTGCTAACCAGGAGGTGAGGTTTGCAGCTACAGTGGTAGTGAAATGGTTATTTTAAGAAAGCACTAGTTTATATCTCAAACTGTAGACCGAGTCGGGGTGGATTTTGCAACCTTCAAATTTCATTTTCTCGTAAGCGGAAGCTCAAGATTTTTGTGAAGCATGCAAATTGCTACAGCAACAAAAATTTCGTATTTTTGCTCAATAAATGCGATCTCACGACACCTCACTCTTGCGTGCGGTCAGTTTAATATATGATTTCACAAAATATTTTCGTGCATCCGCTTAAATTCGGCCATCTAGGCATAAGCGCAAGAACAGGTGCACATGACAAAATGAGCATCCGAAGCCAACCGAACTCAATGCTTTAAAAATGGAATTTGAGACACATTCCAAATGTTGGTACTCATCCGACTGAGCAATTGATTGCGCTATTTATAAATGGCTTAATGCAGATTTTATGCGACAAAAGGAATGCAGGACAAGAAACTAATTACGGTGAGAATCAGAATCGTCATAAACTGTGTGCTGTGTGACAACGCAGCTTCCTTAACTAACGAAAAAGGGAATTCAATAGAAATATACAGAGAACAAGAGGGAATAACTTTGAAAATGAAGAGAATCAATACTAAGACATTACACAGAATACCTATTAATAAAATACTTATGGCAAGGAATAAAATGTGTGTAACATGTTAGGGTTTTTCTGAATGAACTCTATGACAGCTGCGTTCAAACATTCAAGTGAAACGCGGATCGCATTCACGAAGGCATATCTTATTTATTTATGTGCCATTAGCTGCCATTGCATGAGGTTTGGAAGTGAAAATTTTTGCAATTTGCCAGAAACTGGCATTGATTTTCACTTGCGACACTCCTTTACGCGAAAAGAGTAAAATAAATGAAAAGTTGCTGCTGAAATGAGTATGAGTTCACGTTATTTTACTGAAAAATAGTGGTTTCCGGCAATCCAATTCAAGCAGTAGACTTACATTTCATTCTTTCATGAATATCTGCTTAAATAGCCTTCCTAGGTGACTAGATCAAAAAGGTGGTGCCCTTATGCTGGTGATGCACAGCACCAGTGACTGAACTGCTACATTTACCTGTGGTATTTGGAACGCTGTGATTCGTAGTACCTACCTCAGAACAATTCAAATACATTTTGTTCTATCTTTTCTGTATTCTGTATTTTTTGTATTGACCTGCAGTGTGGCAAATTCATGAGCGCAGCATGCGTTTGTTAAGCCAAACTCAGAGAAACGATCTTGCATCATAAGTACATCAGATACTTAAATGTTACTGTAACAGATCGTTGAACGCAGTCTTTTGTTATCTCGGGTTCGCTTACTGAAAAAACTATGGTAAAGCAACGGCTGGAATGTAGCAGACCGTAAGACGCCGTCTTGCTTTGTCGGGACGGTCAGCGAAACGATTGTGGGTAGGCGACGAACGGAAGCAGGCCGCATAATTGGACGAAACGCGTGCAAGTCAATCTTCGTTCCGAGCTGGAAAAAATGTGAAAAGGGACAGTCTGAATGGAGGTCGAACGGTAATTTTCAAGTGCGTTGTGGGCGCAATAAAGGTCGTCATTCTTTAACTTGATACGTGGCTATCTTCATATCATTGCCACACATCTACGATGTGCTGAGAGGGGGGTCTCCGAACAGATCAGACCCTCGGGAAGTTCTGCTAAAAATGATGCAGCGGACAGGATCAGCACATCAAGTTGACAGCTCGTTCGCGGGCTGCGTCAATGATCGAAGAAGGCAATAAGGGGAAGCGGGCTGCCGAGACCCAGCACCGTCAGGGATTGTCACCTATCGCATTTT